ACTGTGAATTTCCCCACGCGGGACAATAAAGGCTGTTTCTATTCTATTCTATTCTATTCTATTCTATTCTATTCTATTCTATTCTATTCTATTCTGTTCTAGTAGAGGTAGAGCATTGCTACTGGGAGATTGAGTTCTGTATAGTATAAACTATGACATTTTTAAATGTTTGAATCATACGGTGAAAAACTGACTTTGAAAAATAAACCTGTTCTTTTTTCTTATAAAAGGTTAAATAAAACAAAAATATTGGTGGTAATTTTTGACTGAGTAACTTTACAAACAGAACCCCACAGCCTTCAGCTAAGTTTAATTTAATCAGAAACATAAAAACGTCAGTGTTGTCTTTCTTCTAGTTTCCGGCAGTTTGATGTAAGTGACGTAATCACGCCCCGTCCACAGATTGGTCATTGCAACATCCGGGGGGCGTGTCATATAGTTTCTCATTGGTTGTGGGTTTAAATCTCCTTGTTGTGATTGGTCAGAAGTGTCGCTTTGCTATTGGTGGATTTCAGAACCAGAAAATTTAAAAGTTGTTCCTGAGAAGCAGCAGCTGCTCCACCGACAGACGAAGACAACTGATAAAGGTCAGATTAAAGGTAAGAGCAGGATTTATTTATTTAAATTAGTCGCGGGATGAAGTTTACTAATATTAATTAAAATGAAGAAAGTTTCTGTTGGGTAATGGAGGTCCTCTCTGCCGGGGCTGTGCTCCTCCTGAGCAGACATGTCGGCAGCGGAGGACGGAGCCCAGCTGCAGTGCTGTGTGACGGTGGAGCAGCTCGGCAGCTCCGCTCCGGCCGCCCGGAGGAGAGTCCTGCGGAAAGCCTCGGTGGTTCTGGGCCGTAACGAGTTCCAGGAGCTGGTCCTCCGGGTGCAGGRCGGGCAGGTGGCGCACAGTTACCCCCTGAAGGACTTCACGCTCTTCACCAAGTTCTGCGGCGACGGGAAGTGTTCGGTGAAGCTGCAGAACACCCAGGTGTTYCTGTCCGACTGTCCGCCCGACCGCCTCCGGCTCTTCCTGCACACCCTGAGCATCAAGCACCAGGCCGGGCGGAGCGACAGGCCTCTGAGCCACCGGGAGAAGCTCCGAGCCGGCCTGCCCCGCAGCTTCCACACCGTCAGCCCCCTGCAGCACAGGGACCTCCAGAAGGTGGCCGAGCTGCGGAGCCTCACGGAGCGGAGCAACAAGCTGCCTGCGGCGGGCTCAGGCCGCCAGGTGAAACGGTCCAGGAGCGAGTTCAGCCCGGTGAGTCTGTTAGCAAAATATCTCATGAACCACCCAACGAGTTTTACTGAAACTCTCAGAAAATAACCACTGGATGAGCATCTGCAACTGGTTAACTTTTGGAGTCAACCTGATACAAGGTGCCTGCCACAGATCCACCTGATCCARAATAAAYAAAATGATTAAAACTCAGTCAGTTGTAGAGAYATTCAGCTACAATTTAGTGTGAGAGTAACAAGAGTGATCCTAACACATATTCTAAACACTCACACTGTGC